TTTACCACTAGCGATTACTCTTATTCACAAATATGTCTTCCTTAAGTTGTCTCAAACTTCCACTGTTTTGTGAAACTCCTCTTACAGTTTTGGGTCTTCCCAAGTGTCAGCATCTCTTGAGAATGCATCTGCTTCTACATTCCTGGAATGAACAGTTCCTGGAAAAGTTGACTGTTCACAGTCTATATCAGAATCCAAATAGTAAGAGGAGACATCTACATTACTCCTTTTTAAAGATATGTCTACACTGTGCCAAAAAAAAAATCCCTGATATCATAGTCGAGCCTTAAAGCAGCGTTCCACTGACTCAAGATTACTGGGCTCAGACTATGGGAATTAAAACAGCAGTATACATGTTCCACCTAGGCTCTGAAACCTCACAAGAGGGGTGGGACTCAGAGCCTAGACTCCAGCACAACCAGTATTGCATATTGTTATTTTCAGTGTAATAATGAAAGACCAAGTCAGCTGACCCAGGCACTGAGTATTATTGCCACTGTGTGGTGTGTGTTTTGTGGGACTTTTTTTTGCAGGGTAGACATGCCCTGGGAGTTTCTCTAATTACATTTTTATGTATTCTATTGCTTTCCTCAAAAATGTATAGGTGTACATTTTTCTACACTGGCTCTCATTGTTTCCTGTTGAGCTTAGTGCGAATTAGATTAAGCCATAAATCCTTGTACATGGGTTTTTGATTTACAGGAGGCATCCAAGAACTCTGAATTTGATTAATATTTGGTTTATCACTGACTTCCAGCTTATTAATTAAACAATATTAAATAAACATGCCTAACACAGTTTCTGAAGCACTGACTGTATCATTCCCCTCACTTAGTATATTGCTATTAATCTTATTTTTTACAGTTCATTAGTTGGTTTTCAATCCATGTGTTAGTGCTTCTGTTGAGGCCAAACTGAATAGTTTTCCAAGCAACATGCTGTACTAAATGCTTTCTGTAGATAGATATACAGTATTGCACCAAATGCATTCTCCTAATCTGTTAATTTAGAATTTCAACCCCAAAAAGACAGACTAGGTTAATATGGCACATTTTTTAATAAAGATCTCAATCAAGTTAACTTTATTCAAATATTATATCACCTATGGTAAATCTAGTGGGTTTCATTCTTTTTCTAGTGTATTCATGAAAGGTGTATCAAATTGACTATCCCATTTGCTACATTTAAAAAAGAGTCCAAGATGTCAAAATAGTTGTCTTCCACTAAAAGTACCTCTTTTAAGACGTAATGAAAGTTTCTATCTTGTTCCTCTTCACATTAAGAATTTACCAGACCCTGGCAGGAGCTGTTTGTTTTTGGAATGTGAGGCTATATAGCAATGGTGGGCAACCTGCAGCCCGTGGACCTAACCCAGCCTTCACTATCTGGTCCTCCATATAGTTTACCTACCTGATGTGTCCCTCAGGCCAAAAAGTTTGCCTAACACTGGCTTAACCTGTTCCTGCCCACACTATAGCTAAGGAGACTGGAGGCAACTGCATTATGTTACTAGCCATCAGCAGCCTGGAGGAATTAGCTGCCTTTTGACACAGTGGTGGCAGGAAATAAACAAGCTAGTCCAGCCATGGTTAGGTGTTGCCAAGTGTCCGGTTTTGAACCAGACAGTCCAGTATTTGAGCTTTCTGTTCGGGAAACAAATTGAGAAAATATAAATGTCCTGTATTTTCTAAATAAGATGTAATGTAGGTTGTGATGTACGTTCAAGTGCATCTGGTATTGTTGTTGAAACCATCTGGCAACCCTAGCCCATGGTGTTGTGGGAGAGGGGAAGAAGACGACATGAGCTGTACAAAGGCATAGGCCTGGTCATCCCTTCTCCCCACCTTCTCACTGCTATTGGAAGCAGCTCCTGTCTTTTCCCTCCTGCGAAAGGCTGTGCTATCCATATTCCACTGTGACAAAAGGCTTCTGCTGTCCACATTCCATTGTGAAACCTGGCAGAAATCTGGGGGCAGAGGATTTGTGACCCTACATGCCAATCTCAGGAAGACACAGTACCAGAAACCAGGAGACGCAGGCCCATCCTGGGAGTCCAGGCTGGTGTCAGAGTCAGGAAGATTGTTCAGTTACCTCTCCTCAAGTGAGCAATATGTAGGGGTGTGTGTATGTGTCCCCTCTTCCTATGTAAACCCTAAAGTCTTAAAGATAAGATGGTAAATACAAATCCAACTATGCAGTATTTCTTTTTAGCGAGGGCTCAGTCAACTTGTTAATTTGAACTTTTGTCTTGCGTAGTCTGATTGGTTGCCACTGAACTCGCTTGAATAAGACTATTTTTTAGGTGTCACGTGTTCAGCATAGGGAAATATGGGCACCCTAATTTTGACAGTCTTGCAGCCCACTACTTGCTAGGCTAGGTCATCCATTGCTGCTTTATGTAGTGTAGATTTTGGCTTTATTCTGTGAAACTTTCTTTCACAATGAATCCTCATTCAGGTATGTAGTTCCAAGAAAGGCAGCAGCACAGTTATGTGAGAAAAGGCTCATCTTTTGAAGAGAAGCAGGATCAGGCCAAATATTTAAGGATAAATATGCAACTGTCTGCAAAAATAAGTGATAGTTTGATTATCAGCCTGACCAGCCAAAGCACATAAATATAAATGCAGAAAATGAAGCAGCACAGAAAACTCATGTGTTTTGAAACAACTGCTATGGATGTAAAAAAGCATTTTATAAGGTTATCTCTTAAAATAGCACATATGTGGAATTAAAAGTGACTGGTTCAGTCACACAGATCCTCGTGTGATTGTCACTTGGGGTATGTCTACACTACAAAGCACTACCTTTCATAGGTGCTACACATACAAACCTCTAGTTCAAACTTAATTCGAACTAGCGGAGCGCTTAATTCTACAGCACAAGCTCATGTTGTCCACTCTCTTCCTTACACAAAGAGAGAGCTCCATAGCAATTATGTACACTGGGTAATACATAATTTGATTAAGTATTTTTATTAAGTATAATATATGATTTAAGTGGTTATAAGTAATAGTACACAGAACAAAGTAAGTTACAAATTAAAATGAAACAAAATATATCTACTAAACATAATACACTAAGGCTGTGTCTACACTGGGCCACTTATTCCGGAAAATCAGCCGCTTTTCCGGAATAAGCTGCGAGCTGTCTACACTGGCCCCTTGAATTTCCGGAAAAGCACTGACGATCTACTGTAAAAAATCAGCTGCTTTTCCAGAAAAACTATGCTGCTCCCGCTCGGGCAAAAGTCCTTTTTCCGGAAAACTGTTCCGGAAAAGGGCCAGTGAAGACAGCACAGTAGTCTTTTCCGCAAAAAAAGCCCCGATTGCGAAAATGGCGATCGGGGCTTTTTTCCGAAAAAGCGCGTCTACATTGGCCACAGACACTTTTCCGGAAAAAGGGCTTTTCCGGAAAAGCATCCTGCCAATGTAGACGCTCTTTTCCCGGAAATACTTATAACGGAAAACTGTTCCGTTTTAAGCATTTCCGGAAAATCATGACAGTGTAGACGTAGCCTAAGAAACTGGTTATATGGTTATATGGACTATCCCACCCTCAGTTAATCATCTTTCACAGACAGGACAGCCTCCCAGCCTGTGTTTGATCCTTCCCCCTGTTCAGTGTTAGATGTTTCCAGCAGTGATCTTGGTTGGTAAGTAGGGTGTCTCTATATCTGACAGTAGCATCTATTGTTTGGCTTCCCACTTTTATAGATATTTTGCCAAAGATGGAAGTTCTTTTTGCTTCAGTTTAAAATTTTTTTCCACTTTCAGTGGAAAAGTTCAATGTCCCTGATGGGTTCCAGCATATAGATGACAACTTTTCCAACGATACCTTATACAAAGTAGTTGCATAAAGCTTTTCCAGTTCTACTGGAATATAATTATAATCATATTTCCATGGATAGCTCTGTGAAAATAATTTTGGGGGGAGACAGCAGAAGATGAGACTTGTCCCAGTCCTTGGAAGCTCCTTGAATAAAGAAATAACCAGAATGTATGGAGAGATTAACTTGGGAGCTTCTGAAGCTCTGTGTAATAGAGGAGTGGCTCTGTGAAACATCCAGGATCATAGTAAGAAGGAAATGGGTAAGAAAAGGAGTACAACTAAGTGATTATATATTTTCAGATGTTGGGAATAAAGAGTAGATAAGAACGTCAATAAAAGAGGAGATAAAGTATGAGGGAGAAGGTAGCCTTACTTTTCTGAATAGGAATCTCCATTATTAAACTTGTATCCTTGCAAGAAGAGAGCTGGTAAAAAAAAGAATTTGACCCCAGTAACTTTGGTTTTGTGGCCTACAGTGGTTACATGAGTTATATGTTCTGGAATAGAGTGGCGGTATTTATGGTTTCAAGTGATCTTTAAAAAAATCGTATAAAGGGGGATTAAATGGAGATTTCAATTGCAATTCAGTATTGCAAGATGATGTATTTTGTATTGCTGCTAAATTCTTCTCACTTGAAAAGTTTACTTCTTGTAAATAGAATTCCAAGCTTCTCTCTATTCAGCTGGTTAAAAAGTTGTGATTTAAATAGCATTATTTAGGTATAGAAGTTGGAAGGAAAGCGATCAGCTGATAGTTTAGACATTAGTTGGCACATAAATAATTGCTATCTTCACATGGAAGAGAAATTGCATCGCAGTAATTTCCTTTTTCTTGTCTAGTAACTGATAGTTTAGAAATTAGTTGGCACATAAATAATTGCTGTCTTCACATGGAAGAGAAATTGCATTGCAGTAATTTCCTTTTTCTTGTCTAGTATAATGTTTTCTGATTTATTTATTTATTTATTTTTGCCCATTGTAGTTCATTGAACTGATGAGGGATGACAAAGAACAGTAACTATAAGGATAGCCATAGCTACAGATTGTTATGCTTTGTTTTTTACAGCTGTATACTGAATCAATATGCCAGATATGCAGGCTGTGAACATATTAACAGAGAGACTTTCCAAGTGTTGCAAATCCTAACACTTTGTCATGTTTGTCCCTTACAGAGTTCTGGAATCTGATACTTTTCTGGAGTGGTGCTGTTGTGGAACAAAACAGATGTTTCAGTAGTTCTCAGTAAGTAAAACAGAGACCAACATATTTAACTTTCATTTTACATGAATGTATCAATATTTAGAAAATCCTTGGACCATTGCTAAACAGACTAAATGTTTCCTGTTGTCTAATAAAGAAACATACAGCCAAACCTTTCCTGCTTTATTTTGACTGAAGAGAGCATTTCAAAAGGCTGCATTGTCTTTTTCTAAAATTGGATGAAAAGTCATATGTTCTATAGCTCCTCTGACAATAAATACGAGTTTGATATTTTGGTTCATTAAATATAATGTACAATATGAGTCTTGGATTGATGCATGGTCATTTCAATTTCCTCTCTCCCAATCTGTGCTTAATCTGGACCATTTATCATGTAATGTGTTCTTTCCTTACACTTTTGTTTTCTGCCCGATACTGCTACAGGTAATTCATTTAGTGAATTGATACAGACAATAGCTAAATAAAAATGATTATTTCATACAAATCTAAATAAGAATTTGAATTTAAAGTTTTTAATTTGGATCTGGTATGAAAAGCATTTTCAATTATAAATACTAAAATATAAACCTTCCTTCTTACAGAATTGCTGTCAACTGGCTATGATTTATATTTGAAATATCAATATTTTGGAGTTTGCCTGATATCACAACCAAGTTTCAGAGCCCCTTTTATCAATTCACCATGTCAATTTTGATCTAATGGTTCCTGAGTTTTCCATGAAAATTGGCTGTACCTAACTGGATTGGTTCATTATTATTTCTTCTTTTATGAATACCAAAAAAAAAAAAAAAATTCCATTACACAAACTATTTTAAGGTTGTACTGAAACTTAGGTGATGGAATGGACTTCCTTCACTAACCTTTCACCTGAGGGATTCAAAATTTAAAATCTATCTCGTATTAGAAATTAAATGAGTGTTGTCTTTGGTGGATGTCTGTCTATAACATGCATCCCGCAAAGTATCTCTCACAATTAGGCTTGGGGACAAACACAGAACTGACTTGGCAGGAGTGTAGCAAGTAATAATGATTGTATATTTGCAAAGCAATGAGAGGAAACTTGTATAACATTTGTCTGCTTCATGGCAGTAACTATGATTAATATTAGCAGTCTTATTACTATTATTGCCTGCTTTTTACAAACACCAAATAGCTTTCTACCCACCCCAAGAAAAACACTAAACAGATTATTCAGACTCTTGGCTACAGTTCTCTGTGATGGCTGTCCATGTTCAATACCAGTTGAGAGGACAATAGTTTTGTCCTTTAAAGGTTATTTCCCTTAAGATCTGTTAAATTTTGCCTCTTCAGGATTGGAATTAAACTTATTCTCACACTCTGTGTGAAGCAATCAATCAAAAAGGACTCTTAGGCTTCTTATTTCACTTACTTTAACAGTAGGAGCAAGAAGATGAACATAACTCTCGACTTTTCCAATTATGTATTTATTGGCTGTAACTATAGCAATGGCAGTTTTGTGTTAGTAGCTTTTCACACTTCTAGCACAAAACTACTTTGATTACCAGAATTTGGTAATGATGCTGAGCCCCCCTTTCTCATGGTCATAATTTCCTATTCCTCTCATCAGATAAATTTTGTTTTTCCTATTTTCTCCTGTCTTGCATTATAGAGTTATGCCTAGTCCTTCCAGTGCACGGCATTGAATGTGTACATGTCCTAACTACTCCTGTATATTTGCAACAAGGGAGAGGAAGAAGAAACTTTCATGTGCCCTGAATAATCACTTAAAAAAAAAAAGTTAAAACATTAGTTTACATGGGTATTGAACCTGCTATACAGTGCTTTGTAAGTTCTCAACCCTCCCCTTGCACTCTAACCTGTAGCTCCCTAGGAAATGCTCATAATTTTTTATCCTAGCTGAATTGCTGTAACAGTGCCAGTACTTTCCTTGGACTGCATTCAGTTGAGATAAATACACCTAATAAGGTCAGTTCTAAAAGACAAGGGAGTTTTCCTCTTCAGGCTGTTTCCTTCACAGGATTGCTCTGTACAAGCTGTTAGCCTGACAACGTGGCCACAAAACCTTTCAAGTGGCACAAATCTAGCCTTTTAATTAGTGAGAGTATTCCTCTCTCATGTGACAGTATGGTGATGTGTTGGTCAAAACATGAATCACATTGTTTTATTAACCCCATTTATGACGGTACCCTTCATTGTGGTTTACAGCATCCATTTTGTAGCACAGATTTGACACCAAGTAGACAAGCTATGTCTAAGAAATTGTCAGAACAATCAAGGGCCACCAATGTTAAATGTCTCTTTCTGACTGAAACAACAGGCCATGAAATGACACTCTATGCAGGCTTGGGGGCTTGGAGCTAAATCCACACCCCATCTTGTAGCAGATGGGGGGAGAGGGGAAATAGCACAGAGACTCAGGATTAAAAGGAGTGATTCTCTCTACAAGGGGAGGCTCACCAATACCAGAAACAAGAGTGTCAGGCAAAGCAGTCTGGGCCAAAGCATTAAGATCAAGCACAGAATTCACAGGAATAAGAAGACTGTTAAGACTGTGTTCAGGAGCCTGTTTTCAACGGATCTGCAACTCTCTTCTGTTTTCGTTTTTTGTCTGTTTTGTTTTAAGAGTAAAGAGTTTACAACTAAGAAATTCCTGTGTTAAACATTTGTATTCTTACTTTTCTGCCAGTGGCCATTGCATGGTTTTAAATGACAAAACAAGTGCTCCCATAGCTAGGAGGACTTTTGTGGGGTGACCATGTCAAAGCGACTTACGAAGGCCGAGTCACTGGTTCCAGCATCTAAATGGCTGGACTGCGAGGGGTCATTGCCAGAGGAGGGTGTTGGACCTGGGATTTGCAGTTAGTAATGTGTGTGAACGCAGAGAATAACTGGTCTTAGAAGCAGTTGGGAGTCAGCAATTAGATCCTGCAGAGAAGAAGCAGTTGGGAGTCAGCAATTAGATCCAACCACAATAGACTGTTGTTCATCCACAGATTGTGACATCACACTACTAAATTACCCTGGGTTCCTCCTTGTCGCCCAGCCTTACTGTCTCCCTTTTGCATGAAATAATTTGGTCTTTTCTGCAAGTAGCTTCCAAAAGCAGCTTTGTAGGATAGTACAAGGGTAGCTATTAAAATTTTTTCCCCTTTGTTTTTTCTTTGTCTGATTTTTGTGGCACATTTCATTCCCACATCATGGCATAGTGGGATGGAGACCTGGCTCAAAATGTGCCTTCACTCTCCCTGTGAAAATATTGATCACTGATGGCCATAACAAGTGTCTTACATATGTAGAAGAAAGGTACTCCTTGAAAATATGTGCTTACTTTTAAGTGCCAACTGCTAGGAAGAGGGTGCAGCTGCCTGTTTGATAAATCCTGCTCTCCATTCCCATGGATGGATAGTTTTTGAGGCCAGAAGGTTACCATTATGATACTTTAATCTATTCTCCTGTTTAACACAGGGCAAAACTTCTCACCGAATAAGCTCTGCATGTGTTCCTTTGCTTCTAATTGAACCAGAGCTTTTTAGAATATCCAGCCTTGGTTTAGAGACTTCAACTGATGGAGATTTCACTACATTCCTTGAGGGAGAATGGCAAATTAGAGACAATGGATTTTAAGAAGGCAGATTTTGGTATGCTCAGAGAGCTGATAGGTAAGGTCCCATGGGAAGCAAGACTGAGAGGAGAAACAACTGAAGAGAGTTGGCAGTTTTTCAAAGGGACATTGTTAAGGGCCCAAAAGCAAACTATTCCACTGTGTAGGAAAGATAGAAAATATGGCAAAAGGCTGCATTGGATCAAGCAGGAGATCTTGCATGATCTAAGAATAAAAAAGGAGTCATATAAAAAATGGAAACTAGGACAAATTACAGAGGATGAATATAGGCAAACAATATAGGAATGCAGGGGCAAGATTAGAAAGGCAAAGGCACAAAACGAGCTCAGACTACAAACAGGCATAAAGGGAAACAAGAAGACAATCTATAAATATATTAGAAGCAAGAGGAAGACCAAGAACAGGGTAGGCCCATTGCGCAGTGATGAGGGGGAAACAGTAACGGGAAACTTGGAAGTGGCAGAGATGCTTAATGACTTCTTTGTTTCGGTCTTCACCGAGAAGTCTGATGAAGGAATGCCTGACATAGTGAATGCTAGTGGGAAGGGGGTAGGTTTAGAAGATAAAATAATAAAAGAACAAGTTAAAAATCACTTAGAAAAGTTAGATGTCTGTAAGTCACCAGGGCCTGATGAAATGCATCCTAGAATATTCAAGGAGCTGATAGAGGAGGTATCTGAGCCTTTAGCTATCAATTTTGGAAAATCATGGAAGACAGGAGAGATTCCAGAAGAATCTCTTGGAAAAGGGCAAATATAGTGCCTATGTATTAAAAAGGAAATAAAAACAACCCAGGAAACTACAGACCAGTCAGTTTAACTTCTCTGCCAGGAAAGATAATGGAGCAAGTAATTAAGGAAATCATCTCCAAACACTTGAAAGATAATAAGGTGATAGGGAACAGCCAGCATAGATTTGTAAAGAACAAGGCGGGTTCATAACTGGCTGGATAACCATTCTCAGGGAGTAGTTATTAACGGTTCACAATCCTGCTGGAGAGGAGTAACAAGTGGGTTCCACAGGGGTATGTTTGGGACCGGTTCTGTTCAATATCTTCATCAATGATTTAGATATCAGCATAGAGAGTACGCTTATTAAGTTTGCAGATGATACCAAGCTTAGAGGGTTGCAACTGCTTTGGAGGATAGGGTCATAATTCAAAATGATCTGGACAAATTGGAGAAATGGTCTGAGTGTTTAGGAAGAATCATATTGGCAAAGGTGGAGAGGGTGTAGCACTCCATATAAAAAAATGGTATTACCTGTTCCCGAGTCACTGATAACTCAGAAGAAAATGATCTTGAGTGCTTATGGATCAATGTTCTAACAGATAAAGCACAAGATGGAATATTAGTTGGGGTCTGCTATGGACCACCAAATCACACTAGGGAATAGGATTAGTGCTGCCTTATATACC